GGAGGGAAGGAGGGAGGGAGGGAAAGAGGGAGGGAGGGAAGGAGGGAGGGAGGGAGGGAGGGAAGCTCCTGTGCCTTTATTCCCCATCACTCTGGCCCCAAAGTCTTTCTATGCTTTCTTCAGCACACATTCCATAGTAGTATATTTAAGAGTTCAGATAAAAGGAACTTCTGACAACTGTGATGCTTATGGTCAGATAACAACAGATGCTGTTCCCCCACCTTTTATTCCCAGCATTGGCACTGGATGGTTGGCCTCTGTTGAGAAAAGCAAGAGCTGATTTTTGCTCCTCACTTAGTTGAATGCTGCCAGATGTGTCACACATGAGCATCTCTCGAATCAGCTGAATCTGTCGTTCCTACAGACCAAAGTAGAAAAAAACACTATAACTAGCCAGGGATGAAAGCTTCACCTCAAATTTATGGGACAGGCAGACCAGAAGACATTAAAATACAGCATTATGCAAATGGGCCTTCATGAAGGCAGCTACACCAATGGCATATTAATTCATGTCAAGCTCAGATTTTGGGTCTGATTTCTGACTGGTAAAATAAACTCTAGAATAGAGGGGCTTCCACTATAAGACCTTAGGATCCAATTGCTAATCTAAGAGGAAAGTAACACAAAATGAGGGTCCCAAAATAGATTTCACATAGCAACAAAAATTCCATGTCATTTTTATGAGGACAATTAGTGGCTTCTTCTGTGGATCAAAGCAATCACTCAACTTTCTAAGTGGTGGAGCAAAATGCATTAAAATGGATACAAAGCTGTAACACACAGGAACCAGACAATCTGAGCTTATTGAAGCATCTTACATAGACCCAAAATCAATTAGCCCCTCCTAGCAAAGGTTTTCTTCTGCACCATAACCAACCCTAGCACAGTAAAATATTGTACCTCATCACACTACTCAATGAGTTGAGCATATCTAGCCCTTTACCCCAAATTAGAGAGCAGGGATGAACAGAAGAGTACAAGTTGCCTTGCCTGTCTCAATATCAAAGGACTTTTATTCATGGGAGGATGAAAATATTCTGGGTAGCACTTATGGCCAACAATTTGTATGGCCAATTCAAGTACACTAAAATTTCCCTCCTCAGTTTAATTCTCTAAATTCTCATTTGAAATTTGTCCTTTGAGTAATACTTTCAAGTCTAAAGAGAAAAACAAATTTTTATTTCAGACTCTAAACAACAGAGTCATAGGTTGCAATTTCAATTCCAGTTAAAGGATGGGCTGCTTTTAGATCTTTAATGTGGAATAAGAAACTGGGTGGATATGGCAAGTGGAAACATTATCAGATGATGTTCTCCTCCCCTCATCACCACTGTGCTAGCAGAGAAAACAATACACACCAGCTTCTCACAGTCAGCTTCAGCTCGCTGTCTCCGTTTGATCTCTACATCCACTTGATTACGTGCATGCTTCAGTTTAACATCCAGAGCGCTGCGCTCAGTCTCTGCTTTCATCAAAAGATCCTTGAATTTCCCCAGCTCATGGTCTGTTCTCTGCCACTTCTTCCGGAAATCCTCAAAGTCCTTTGCCAACTGGATAAATTCTGAGGAAAGGTAAAAACTGTAATAACTCAAGTATTAGAGAGTAACAGCTCAAATAAATGGGTGCTATAGTTACCTTTACTCCAAATACTTAATGAAAGGGCCAGCTGAACTACTGGCAAATCCAGATGAAAATAACAGGAACACGTCCTGGATACATTTGTTATTCTACACAAGAGCTTTGTGGGGAGCAATTCCTGATTCAAACATGCCACTTACATTTGGTTTAGCCAGTGGCATCTGCTATGGAATATGTAACTCATTAGTCACCTGGCTCCAGATGTAACATCAACACTGAAAGCTCCTGAACAGAAGGCACTCAAATGGGATACCTTTGGGGCAGCTGTCACATACCAGGACAGTTACAGCTATAAAACAAAAAGAGCCTCCTTTGTGGTCATGCATTATTGCACCAGAGACATTAAACATCAAATTCAAGTGTACCTGTCATAATATGCTCCAGTAGATGTAGATTAATATTATAGATGTCTAGGCTTGCAATTCCATTCAGTTATATAATTATACAAATATTGATTTGAAAGTAAAGAGCCAGTTTGCTTTTGCTGTTTAACACTGCCCTGAAGGGTATGTAAACATTTCAGTTGGAAAAACAGGAGAGAAGATCCTATCAGCTTTTGGAAAGTCACTGATAGCAGAATGTGGTTTCTCTTCAAATGTCTGCTTCCAAGATAGCATTGGTTCCAAGGCAGCACCTCAGAGCTAGATAATGCTGGTGGTATCCACTCTTAACACCTGCTATTGGTAAAGATGGTCCTTCTATAATGCATTGCAAAAGTACATTACAGTTTTCTAGTTAACCTCAATCTATCTTTGTCACTTTTCACCAACATGAGAGAAAAAGGTTCCAAGCCATATATCGCAGCTGGTCAAACTAACCTGGTTTATAGCTGAAACTAGGCCACACTCACAAGCCAATTTCTAGGTAACAAGGGCACTTACCCTATTTGAATTTGACCTAAGAAACAATAGGATTTAAAAAAAAAAAAGAAGAAAGAAAAAAAAAAAAAAAAAAAAAAAAATAATATGATGGTGTTTAAAACTAGACTAAGGGGTCGGGGAGATAGCTCAGTAGAGTAAGTGCTTGCCCGGCATGTGCAAGGGCCTGAGTTCAATCCCCAGTTCCATAAAAAAAAAAAAAAAGAAAGATTCCTTTAGGGGCTAGGGAATAGTTCAGTGGAATAAGTGCTTGCCTGGCAATCACAAGGGCCTGAATTCAATCCCCAGTTCCACCAAAAAAACAAAAAACAAAAATAAAAAAAAATTTAAAACTAGACTAAATTTCAAAGTTATAAATTAGGATACAAATTTATTTTAAAGAAACCAAGTCATAAAACTTTAATTTTTTTTTTTGTTCCTTGAATGCCTTCAGGGCACTTTTGGCCAGCTAGAGAGGTGTGAGGTTCGAACTCCAGCAACCTGAGGCTGACAGCTTTGTAGAAGCAGCCACTTAAAGGCCTGAGCTAGGGCCAGGTCCCCTAAAACTTTAATTTTTAGCAAACAAATTTTAGCAAAATGAGATATTGTGACCTGGTTAACTTGTACAATACAAATATCATGAATCAAAAATAATAAAGTACTACCAAGGTAAAGAATTATAAACAAAATGCTAATTTATTTAACAATCTGAAACATGTTACTTTTTTATTTTTAAGCATAAAAATCAATATATCTTTTTGCAAATTTAACTATTTCAACATTTTAGATTCTTAAAAAGGAAAGAGTAAGCGTTTCTTATTTAGCCATTTACTATGATGATTTACCAAGCACTGTACTTATGACTTGTGCGTGTTGGTGATCTATGCAACACTTTGATTTCAAAAAAGAGCAAGAGGGGAGCTGGGGAGATGGCTCAGTGGAATAAGCGCTTCCCTGGCAAGCGCAAGGGTCTTAGTTCAACCCCTGGTTCTGCCCAAAGAAAAAAAGAGCAAGAAACACGCTTTTCAACTATATAGCCTAAAAAGTTTCTAGCTCCACATTGTGGTCAGTGACATGGTATTTCTACATAAGTGTTAGACACACAATCAAGTATTTACTAAATTGAGAAGCAATCAGAGGGCCGGGGAGATGGCTCAGTAGAATAAATGCTTGCCTGGCAAGTGCAAGGGCCTGAGTTCAATTCCCAATTCCACCAAAAAAAAAAAAAAAAAAAAAAAGAAAAAAGAAAAGCAATCATAGCTAGGCATGGTGATTGCACCCCTCTATTCCTATGAAGCAGGATTGTTGAGAATTAGCTACAAAGTGGGCCAGCCTGAGCTGCATAGTGAGACCCTGTCTCAAAAATAAAATAAAATAAAATAAAATAAAGGGCCGGCTAGATAGCTCAGCACTTAAAGCACCTGTTTATAGACAGATGCGGAGTCCAGGGGCTCAATCCCATGTGCTGTGCCAGTCCCCCCCCCCCCCCAGGGCATGCTGAGATGGTGATTGAGAATGAGCGCAGTGGCAAATGCCTGTAATACCAGCACTTGGGAGGCTGAAAAACAGGAGAATCACTATCCAATGTGTGTAGTGAGACCGTATAGACTCTGTAATAAATACAAATTAAATAAATATATTTTTAAAAATCAGAATGGGAGGATGTTATGGTTTGTGCATAGTTGTTCTCCCAAAGCCTCATGTAGTTATTGGGGCACAGTTCTAGAGTTTGTGATTAATTCATGATCCAAGGCTGGGATTATGGGTGTGAGTACTGCTGGGATTATGGGTGTCTGTGCTACACCCACCCACCCTGGGGCAGACAGCCTGAAGGCAATATAAGGAGAGAGGCTTGCCTCTGCCACTGCTGCCACTGCTCCTCACTTTTGCCTTTGCTCTTTGCTGTTTTTCTGCCACCATTAACTGCTGTCCTTTGCCATGTGGCACTCTGCCTTGAAGACAGCTGAGTATGGACTGAAACCTACACAAACTGTGAGTTAAATAAACCTAGCCTTCCTTAATTTTGAGTGTGGGGTATTTTGTCCCAGCAATGAAAGTAACTAAGACAGAAGATTTCCATTCAACCTAATTTTGCTTGTTTATTCTTTATGATACTTCCTCTTGGTAAGTCTTACTAAGTTTGGACTTTTATTCCTAACTGCTAACTGGCATACATTATTTTTATTTTTATTTTTCTGGCGGAACCGGGGATTGAACTCAAGCCCTTGCACTTGCCAGGCAAGCGCTTATTCTACTGAGCTATTTCCCCAGCCCCCTTCTGTTTCCCCAGCCCTATAACTCGTATACATTAAAGGTATAAATGAATTAAATAAAGACAGAAGATAAACCAAACATCAGTTCAAGGAACGAGCTAGAAAACTGTCAAAAAGACTATACAGTTGAAAAGTATACTTCTGTTCTTTATTGTCACAGTGAGATGGCCAAGTAAGAATAATTTAACATTTAAAAAAAAAATTCAAAGAATGAATCCTTATTCTCCTAGTAGGTTGGTTGGTTTTTTGTTTGTTTTAAACGTATTTGGTACAGGGTCTTACTATGCAGCTTGGACTCATTGTAATCCTCCTGCTTTGAGCCTCCCCTGCACTAGGATTATAGGAGTGAACCACTAGCCCAGTCTCTTGGTGGCTGCTCAGTGCACCCAGGGGCGGGGCCAGCACAGCATGTGGTGTCAGGAATCAAACCCTGGTCCCTGCATTTTCCTTAGAAATACTTTCCTCATCATTTTGCTCCACATGAAATCTTTCTAAACTTCCCAAAAGTGTTTATTTTGTTAATTGTACTATCTTGTTTCGTAAGAAGAAAACCTTACCTCTGAAATTAAGATACCATAATTTTCTTGATACCAGCATATCACAATATCACATATGCTGTACAATGTATCACTTAGCTGGGGATATAGCTCAGGGGCATAGCACTTGCCTGGCAAGTACAAGTGCAAGGTCCTAAGTTCAATTCTCAGTACAAAAAAAAAAAAAAAAAAAACCCTCCTAATATAGTATTGTATAGCACAAACCTAGTACTATATGTCACTAGGCACCTGCTAAACATTAAGCTATACCTATACACCAATGATATAAAGAAGATTCAGGTAGCTTATAACAAAATAAAAATAGAAGATAACTAGGCTGTGTGGTATACACCTGTGACCTCTTCTATTCTGAGGCAGGAGAATGGCAAGTTTGAATTCAATCTGGGAAATTTAGTGAGATCTTGCCTCAAAATAAAAATTTAAAAAGAATGGAGATGTTAGAGCACTTACACAGCATATGCAACACCCTAAATTAAATTTCCAAAGTAAATATTATGTAAACAGGGGCTGAGGGTGGGTAACAAAATGCCTGGGCTATTAGTTATTTTATTTGGCTGGGGAAGATAGCTCAGCAGTATAAGCATCTGCCTGGCAAGCACAAGGTCCTGAGTTCAATCCCCCGTACAAAAAAAAAAGTTATTTTATTTGAATATTAACTTTCATTTAGATGTTTTTTGTTTGTTTATTTGTTTGTTTGTTTTTGTCTTTTTGAGGCAGGGTCTCACTATGAGGTTCAGGCTGGCCTTGAACTCCCTTAGGATTCATTGATTGTGGCTGGCTCAGCCTACCCTAGGGTCAGTGCTGGCACAGCACATGTACCAGGGATCGAACCACAGGACCTGTGCATTTGCCTAAGCTTGCCTAAGCAGGCATTTCAGACCACTGAGCTATCTCATTGGCCCTGGACTTAGGTTTTAGAAAACCTAAACAAAAAAAGAAATGAAGTTGTGATGAAAAGCAGAAGTAAGGAATCTGGAGATATATATAGATAGACAAATTTCTTAGAATCTGAGAAGAGAAAAGATACTAGAGTGGTTGCACAAAAAAGATTCTAAAGTCTAAAAAATTTCTCAAAGCCAACACTCCACGTTAGAAATGGAAGGGAGAAATGCACTTATAAAATAGATGTCAATAAAAAACTAGAAATTTGTTTATATAATAAAGCTATCTGTAAAAATAAATATCTTGCCTAAGGTTGTGGTTTTCATGGGGACATGCTCACTTTTTATATTTGGTACAGTGTCTCACTACACAGTTTGGACTTGTAGTGATCCTCCTGTTTTCAGCCTTCCCCATGCTGGGATTACAGGTGTGTACCACCATGCCTGATTTCAGTGGCCGGCTCAGTGCCTGGGGGAGGAGTCAGTGCAATATGTAGTGCCAGGGATCGAACCCCAGTGCCTGTGCTTGCCTAAGCAGGTGCTTAGTCTGCTGAGCTATCTCGCTACCACTTCTAAAACATATTTTTGGGACTGTAGATATAGGTCAGTAACACAGCACCTGCCTGGCCAAGCATGAGGTCCTGAGTTTGACTCCTGATACCAAAACCAAAAAAAAAAAAAAAAAACAAAACAAAAAAAAAACCCAAATAAGTATTTTCACAACTAGTATGTACCTCCTCTGTCTGGCAGTCTGAGCAACAAATTTGGTAATATCAATATATAATACAATAACTACTGTTAATTTCCTATTGTTTTGAAATCCTGTACTTTTACTGTCTTATGGTGTTTTGCTTTTGTCTTTGTTCTTGTTATTCATTTTTGGTTTTTTCTCTTTAAAATAAAAAAAAAATAAAATAAAATAAATTGATGTTTAGTAATGATAAAAAATAAAATAAAATAAAATAAAAACTAGTATGTATCTCAATTTACCCACAAATCCTCACAGAACTCCCATAAAGAAAATAAGGACATTTCAATTCCTATTTTACAGCCAGCAGTTATTTCTAGGCCTCTAAACCTCTGACTCTTCCCTCTGTCCCCACACACTCTCAGCTATCTCCCTCCAGAAGTCTTATCACCACAATCTCTTCTACTCATTTTCTCTTGTTTCCATCTTCACAAGCACCATTCCAAAAGCATTTACTTAGGAATGGATTTCCTCTTACTGCCTCTTTTCAGAGCTATGGCAAACACATCCTTCCTAGTCAGATTCCCAGCTTGTAATATAGCCTACACCCTCTCTGCCAGGGTAATCTTCCCAAAGCACACTTATTATGCCAAACGCCCTTAATCCCATTCTCTTCAAACCCTCTTGCCTCCCCTCCAGCTGATGCTTGAGCTAAAATGCCCTTTCATCTCTGCCTGTTAAGATACTACCCTCATCTCAAACCCTACTTTCTTCCATGAAGCCATTTAGTTGTCCCTTTCCCTTAACTCAACATGTGCTAGAAGCATTGATAGGTTTTAACAAAGTATTTGTTGAATGAACCTAAGTTTTAAGATCTTATTCCATATCTTTCCCACTAGACTGAGAAGTAATCCATCTTCCGAGATGATGTGACCTCAAAGAGAAGCCTGATTAGTATGCCATTGTGGGTATTGAGCTAGTACCAGCTGACAGGGTCAGGCAACAGCTATTAGGGAGAGAAAATAGAATACTATTCTGAAAGGCCTATAAGTGGATAAGAGCTATTAAAAGCATCAATCAATTTAAAGAAAATATTGAATGGCATAAGCAAAAAGCCATACTAAGTACTATAGAGATAAAGAAAAGTTCAAGACACAGTTCCTGCATTACTTTATATCAATGAGGCTGACTCCAGAGCAACATTTACTGAATGGGCTAATACTAAATCTGTGAAATTGAAACTAGCATAGAACAATTCCCTTATTTTACATAACATCAGTGATTTTAACCATGGTAAGTACCCATCACTTACGCTTCTTACTTTTTCAGGTAACTCAACTGAAAAGCAACTTTTAAAATGGAACATACTTCAGCTTTGTAGAAAACCCAAATCTGAAGTCTGTTTTTTTGCTTGCACAAACCAGCTCAGAATGACTTACGGAGTTCATTTCCTTCACTGAGAATCTCCACCCGGCGCACAAGCTGCTCAAACAGATTTCGCAGATTCAGCATCATAGCATCCATCTTTCTGCCAAGAAATCAAATATACATTAGGGGTCCTGCCTTTTCCCCATGACATAAGGTTCAACAGCATCAGTACAGCCATCAGTGTCCCACACTTGGACTCTTCCATTTGTAGACAGCATAATAAAAATCTCAAACCAACAATTGATGTTCTGGGTGGTCTTTATAGAACAAAGGTTAAATGTTTAAGACTCATTCAAAAACTACAAAACCATTTCAGACCTTTAAGGATAACATCCCACTCCCTGCCTACTTCGTCCACCACCTCTGCAATCACTCTAGTGCTAGAAGGTAATTTGGAATGAACATATCAGTTGGATTGCAAGGTGACCAACTATAAAATGTGGTTCCCTAAGTTAGACTTATTGATTAATATTTTTGTCATTTTAATCCTACTGGAATTTGAAGACATACACTACAACTTGAAAGGTTTATTTTAAATTTCATTTTTAGTTAATGTCCTATCTCAACTGCCTTTTAAAACTCAGAACATGGTCAGCACATTTCTACCAATGGCACAGATGACGTCATACAAGTGATTAAGTGGGGAAGTTGCCAGCTCAGCAGCACAGGAATTATTTCTGTAATGCAGGGTTCTCTGCTGGTCTCTGTGCAGGATCTAATAAATTTATACTAAGCATAGGAAAGGATTACATTGTACCACATTCTGGCATCAGAGAGAGACAATACACCACCTTCACAGTTAGAAAGGCAAATGAAAAAAATCATTGTTACTGTGTTCTGTATAGTGAATTTCAAGTTTAGTATTCCTACTATCCCCAAGACCAGCCGATATTACATTAAAAATGCAGTCCCTATAGGCAGTTCTGTTCCAAATACACTTAAATATGAACACTGTAAAGAAGTAAGACTTTCATTTAGCAGTCAAGAAAGATATTTACTGAATATTAGGAAAATTATCAAGGAAATGAAATAAAAAGTCAAGTATCATTGAAAATTGAGGGTCCGGGGAGGTAGCTCAGTAGAATAAGTGCTTGCCTGGAAAGCACAAGGGCCTGAGTTCAATCCCTGGTTCCGCAAAAAGAAGAAAAAAGAAAATTGAATGTCCTTAGAAATACCAGGAAAAGGATTCTTCTACATGTTTCTCTAACCAGTCTCAGCTTTCTGGTACAGGCCATTATTTCATGAATCTAAATAAAATTTTCAGAACTCTATTATGAATGTTAAGTGATTGTGCAATGTTTTTAAGATTGTGCCATAAATTATGAGGGTAAGAAAGAAAACAAAGGACAAAAAAAAATGAACATAAAGATAGTTCTATTAACTGCTACAAAAATATTCATTTGTACTCATGTTACAAATGCTGTAAAAAAAAAAAAAAAAAAAAAAAAAAAAATCAATTCCAAGCCAGGAAGCAACACAACTGAATCAGATCTTCACATGCTAATGTACTGTTCCAAGCTACACTATCATGGTAAATTGCTAAGCAACCAGAACAACAAAGTATTACAAAGCTCTTTCTATAAACTAAGAGCAAAGCCAGGCATGAGAGCCCATGCCTGTAATCCCAGCATTTAGGAGACTGAAGCAGGAGTCAGACTGAAGCTTGCAAGTTCAAGGCCAGCCTGGGCTACATAGTGAGTTAGGACCACCCTGAACTACATAGCAAGACTCTGTCTCAAAAAGAAAAAAACTCAAGAACAAAACTAAAAGAGTAGGATCTGGTGCAGTGGTGCATACCTGTAACTCCAGCACTTGGGAGGCAGAGGAAGGAGGATCATTGCGAGTTCAAGACCAGCCTGGGCTACAAAGTGAGCTTAAGGCCAGTCTGAACTGCATAGCAAGATCCTGTCTCAAAAAGACAAAAACAAACAAACAAAAACAACTACAAGAATATAATTAAAAGAGTCAGCCAGATAGCTCAGTGGACTAAAGTAAGCAGATGCAGGGACCAGGTTTGATCCCCAGCATGCCATGCCAGTCCAACCCCTGGGGTGGGGCATACTGAGAAGATTGAGACTGGGCTTGGTGGTGCACCTGTAATCCCAATGCTTGGGAGGCTGAAAACAGGAGAATTATTAAGAGTCTGATCTATGTACTGAGACCCTGTAGACCCCATAGTAAATATATATTTTTTAAAAAATCATTAAAACTGGCAGAAAGAGGCCCCCCCAAAAAAAAATCAAAAACAAAACTAAAAAATCCTAAAAAAACAAAAACTGGCAGAAAGAGATCTGAAACTCTGAAAGAGATGCCCATGGGGTTAACAAAAATAGGTAAACACACCCTAGAGCTCTAGGACACAAAATAGGACAGGACATTCAGTGGTGGATTCAAATGATGATCTCCTTTGGCTCCCAGTAAAAATGGAAGACATAATCAATAGTTTTAATATAGGGTATTGATTTTTTTATCAATAACCATCAACTTTAAAATAGTAAAAAAAATCTCTGTCCAAGAATGCAGAAGAGGAAATTTTCATTGTACAACTAGACTATTGAAAATTGCTTTTTAATGTTTTTCAGAGAATTATGTCTTAACTGAAAATAGGATTTGATAGTTGATCCCCTTCAATGATTTCAGTGTTGGTGTTTCTCAAAAATTCATGTTGAAACTTATTCTCCCTAGGCTATGGAGATAGCTCAGTAGAATAAGCACTTGCCTGGTAAGCGCAAGGTCCTGAGTTCAATTCCCAGTACAGAAAAAAAAAAAAAGAAAAAAGAAAAACTTGGAAACTTATTCCCCAGTGCAAAGTATTTAGTGGTGTTGAGGGTGGAAATGAGATTAGTGCCTTTATAAAAAGGCTAATTGAAGGAATCTGGCCCTTTTTGACTACCTACCATGTGAGGATGCAGCAAGAAGCTGCCATCTTTTTTTTATAATGTATTTGGTACAGGGTCTCACTATGCAGATCAGACTCATAGCGATCAGACTCACAGCGATTCTCCTATTTTCAGCCTCTCCAGTGCTGAGATTACAGGTGTGCACCACCATGCCCAGACTCGGTACATGATGGTAAAGCTGCCATCTTGGAATAAGAAAAATTCTTACCAAAGAATCTGCCTGAAGTCTTGATCTTGTACTTCCCTGACTGCAGAGAATAAATTCCTATTACTTAAGTTACTCAGCCTAGGGTATTTTGTTATAGCACAGGCACAGACTGAGACAGTCCCCTTTTTAAAACAATCCTGGGGCCAGGGAGATGGCTCAGTGGAATAAGTGCTTCCCTGGCAAGCACAAGGGCCTGAGTTCAATCCCTGGTTCTGCAATAAATAAATAAATAAATAAATAAATAAATAAAATTTTAAAAATCCTTACATTTCCCCAAATATCTTTTTTTTTTTTTTTTTTTTTTTTTTGTGGAACCGGGGACTTGTGCTCACTTCGGCAGCACATATACTAAAATTGGAACCGGGGACTGAACTCATGCCCTGCTTATTCTACCGAGCCATCTCCCTGGCCCCCCAAATACCTTCAGTCTATTATTTTTCTCTGCATTCTTTGTACATACTACTCCCCGGAATGAGGACTGGAACTACAGTCTCTTAAAACCATGAACTTGAAAAAAAAAAAAAAAAAAAACACCATGAACTTGGTCTTGAAAATAAATACAAAGGGCTGGAGAGATGGCTCAGTGGTCTAAAGCACCTACTTGAAACAAGCTTGGCAAAGCACAGGGACCGCGGTTCGATCCCCCAGCACCACATGCCA